AGAGAGAGAGAGAGAGAGAGAGAGAGAGAGAGAGAGAGAGAGAGAGAGAGCATTCCTATTTTGGTATGATTGCAATAAATACTTCAACTGGTCTATGGTGGTAGATTGATAAAGTGAAAATTAATCAGATTAAAGTTAAAAGGATATAGTCTTGAATAAATTTCCTTATTAAGATATAAAATATGGAAAATTAAAGTTGAAATATAAATGAAAGCAATTTTTACCAAAAGAACCATCAAGTCAGTGGTGTGATTTTTTTTTTCAGTTAAGAAAAGGAATTACAGAAAGAAACTTGCTGACTGACTGCTCAGTCAAGGCTTCACATCACAGGGACCACTAAAAGGTCCCCCTTCCAACTCTCAAATTCTGTGATTCTGTGAGAATGTTCTGGTGGGCTTACTGTAATTCTCGGGTGTAGTTTTCAGCTTTGAAGGTTCAGAAATTCAGTTTTTGTCAGTTCACCCGAGGGTAATCAACCTCTAGAGCATCAATTCAAGTTAACCTTATTGACAAAAAGTTGATTCATAAACCTAAATGCTGATTTATAAATTTACAATGGGGGAGAGACTTCTGACTGGCAAATTTGGACCAGTTGCTAGAGGGGCCCACTCCTCTCCTGGTTGCTAAGTTCCCCCATGGGTGCCATGGAAAGAGTGCTAGATTAAGGCTCAGAGGCACCTGGATTCATATTTTGGCCCTATCTCTTACTACTTATGTGACTTTGGGCAAGTTAATTAACTTCTCTGGGCCTCAGTTTCCTCATCTGTAAAATGAAGAAGGTGGCATAAATTACCTCTGAGGTCCCTTACAGCTCCAATTCTATGATCTTATGATGATCCTAAGAAACAAATTACACAATCAGAAAATTGCTCGTTAAGTAGAGAATCAAAGTGGAAAGAATGAGATTTTATTAAGGAATGTGTCCTATAAGCTAAGGTAGCTTGATGATCTGAGCTTCTCTACCCTAGAAATATTTCTTTAAAAAAAATAGTAGAGGTTGGTCATAGACAATCAGAGTTCCTTCTCCACTGGACAGAGCTGGAAACACAATGGCAAATTCTTATTTTTCAAATTCTCTTCTTTCAAGCTTCCTTTTCAAGCAACTATAGTGTTTGTCCCTATAACACATTGTTATGATAAAAATGCCAGTTTCAAGATTGTAGCTTATTTTTAGTTACATTTTCATGGGATGCCTTTGCTTTTAGGGAAGTCCCCTAAAATCTCTAAGATTTTGAAAGTCCACTAGTCTTACAAATGATACTTTGAAAAACCATTTTCTTAAAAAAAAATTCTTTGGATTTGTAACTTCTGTAGATGGCTAATACTATACATTTTGTGTCAAATCTTGACAGTTTCCCTTTTGAGTGGGAGATCCTTTTTTCCTAACCTTGTCCCCAAGTTCTGCTAAGGTGATCGGAGAATGATAAGTAGCCAGAGATTTTCCTTTCAGTCATTTATTTGGTTAGAACTGGGCAATTACAACAGCTGAGAGGGAGACAGCGGGACCCTGCCTTTGCTGCCATTGGACAGTGACTCTGAGTAGAGCGATGGTGGAGGCAGAAATGAGGGAAAGACCTAGTACTGTAATTCTGCTGCAGCCAGCAGAATTAGGTTGTTTTCTAGTGAAAAGAAACCAGTTGGCTTTCCCGCCTCACCTGCCCCACCATCATAGAAAAACCATTGCTACTAAAGAAATGGTTTTCTTGGACATCCCCACAGCTGAATAGGCACTAGGGGAATGCACACTTCCACTACCCTGTAACCTAGTTTTCCCATACTAAAAATAAGGAATGCTTTCATAAAGTCATAGCATTCTAGAGCTGTGGTTGGGGTAAGATCCAACAGCATCTTATTTTAAAGATGAAGAAACTGATCCTGAGTCTGTGCTCTTTTTTGCACCCTATTCTTTTCTGGAATCCTGTCAGATCTTACACTTTGATGCTTTGGTGGATGCTTGACCCCATCAATTTGAGCACTCCCTCCAGGGGTGCATATAAGAACATGTCCACAACTTCTCATCCTGTGCAATCCTTGTCTATTTCCTTCCATAAATCCTCCATAGAGGAATGGAATGGGCTGCCTCAGGAGGTGGTGGGGGCTCCTTCCTTGGAGGTCTGCAAGCAGAGGCTGGACGAGCGCTTGTCGGGTATGTCATAGTGGGGATTCCTTTCATGTATGGGTTGGAATAGATGGCCACTGAGGTCCCTTCCAACCCTTCAGTTCCGTGATTCTATGATTCTGCGAGTCTACGAAATGCCCTGAGTTCTTAATTTGGTTATTTTAATATTTTGTGGATACTGGTGTAATCCTTGGGTTTTGGAGCTGTTATGCCTCATTCATGAACAGTTCGCCATGCATACATGTCTCTGATGATGTTTTTTTGGCTTCATTTCTCATTTAAGTGAACATTAGTAATATGCCACAATCTACTTACCCTTGCCATGTGTCTTTCCATTGCCCCTTTGGGTCATGTGCAATTTTTGTTTTGTTTTCTTTTCTTTTCCTTTTCTAAGATCACAATCCTGTAGCCATATAGCATGACCAGGAGAATGTTATTAAAGAGATGAATCTTTGTGTTAGGGAGTAGTTTAAGATCATTGAAGGTGTTACTCAGTTTCCCCAAGGTGATCCTGCCTACTCTCCTACTATTTAATTGTTGAGTCCAGCTCATTGTCCATCTGAGTTCCTGTCCAAGATCAAAGAATCTCAGAGCTGGAAGGGACCTCAGAGACCGTCAAGTGTAGCCCATAGATGAACAAGAAACCCCTCTACAGCATTCTGGGTAGTGGTCACTCAACCTTTGTTTAAAGACCTCTCAAGGCAGCCTGTCTCACTTTTGTCTATTTCTACTTGCTGGAGTTTTTTTTCTTATCATAAGTCTTGATTTTGCTCTTTGCAATTTCCACCCACATTGCCCTTAGTTTTGTCCTCGGGGGCCAAACAGAAAGAGTCTTAGCTCCTCTTCTTCGTGACACCCCATCATTTGTAAATTCCACATGCCTTGCATTTGTGAGGCACTTGAGAGCTTGTTGAATTGATTTGGTAATCAACCCTACACTTTTACACATAGAATACTGCTGTACTGGATGACTTTGAGAGAAAGAAAACCCTTGGAACTGGATCATTTGGACGTGTCATGCTTGTGAAACACAAGGCCACCGAACAGTACTATGCTATGAAAATCCTTGATAAGCAGAAGGTTGGTGCATTCTGTCATGAGTTATCCGTAGTGTAAACTTGGGTTTTGAAGGCTCAGATCCTAAATGTATCTTTATCTATACGTATATATATATACATATATATACATATATATATATATTAGTGCTGACTTCAAATTTCTTGACATTCTTTAAATGAAAATTGCTGATGGTTTGAATATTTATGAAAAAAGCTGTTTTAATGATTTCATTTAAATATGCTTTTGTCTTCCTTTTTTAATACAAATTTTGAATTTAGCACGGATTGTCCAATTTTAGTATCACTACCACATTCCTTGGGACTTAGAACATGGCATATCTAAAATGCTTATAAGATATTTTGTATTCTGAAATCAGTTCCTAGTCAAATACCCTCACACCTCATGTGTTCAGCTTATGGGACAACCCTAGAAATAGAGGCAACAATTCTTAATCCAAGTTCAAGAAGAGCAGCCAAGGAGGAAGGAAATCCTTACTCTTATCTATAAATTGCAGTGACCTAAAAACATATATACAGTCAAAGAGGTGTGAAATGAGGGCTTCTTGTTTTAAGAGCACTTTGCCCCAGTGAAACCCTCCTGCCCCTACAACCCATAGTTCTTCATCTCCCTAGGCAATCCAGGCTCATTATTTTAAAACTTGAGGTTATTGTAAGAAGATAATTATTTAGTTATCCATTGAAACATTTCTTAAGCATCAAAATTTGTGGTGCCAAGGCGTCCATGATGTGAATGACATAATTTTAGGTAAGACCACTAGATGAGCATCTTGGTTCTTAGAACTCAGCAAGCTATGTCAGAGAGGCAATGCTACATATTTTGATATTGTTTCCACCCAACCCCCAGTTTGATCAGAATGTTGTCTATGTCATTTCCTACTTAATAGTTAGTACTGGTTTAAAAACTGCAAAGTTCTATTACGACATAAAAGGTTTTAGGTTGTTTGTATGTATGGTTTGGTCTGCCAAAACAGCTAATTAAAAATGATGTTTAGATAAATGTGTCTTAATGTCAGTGATATGTTAAACTATATAACTTAGAATCAATCATATATATGTGTGTATATATGCATATGTAATACTTCAATTTGCATATGACTCTGTGATTACATCATTGTGGGCACTCACTCTGATGGTACAGATTGGAAACCATCCATGCCTTCTCATTCTGTGTAACTCTTGTCTATTTCCTCCTGAAGTCCTAGACAGAGGGTCTACTTCATGTTACTTGGATGTTAATGAAGCTAACAAGCTTTGCTCTTGTTATATCACTGGCCCACCCCCTTCTCTGATCTTGGACAATACTATTCATTATTTTCCCCCCAATTATTTGGTGCTTTCCCCACTTCTGGATATCTTGAGACTCAATTCCTCAATAACCACAAAATTCGTCACCTCCAGAATAGACCTGTTTTAGGTGTTTTCTGAGCTCTTTTGGCCTCCTTATTGTGTTAATCTATTTCTAGAGGCTAAACTTTCCGTTCTAGATCCAATTTTCATTCTTGCTCCAATTTTCAGTAGTTATGGTTTGTTGAGCTTGACCAAGTTGGAGCCATTTTCATTCTATGCGTCTTCCCATTTTTTATTCTTTCTGTAGTTTGATATTGTTCTGATATTTTTTGACAAGTCAAATAAGTGATTTGTCCAAAATTATATAGTAATTTCTCAGTGGCAGGGAGTAGCAGAGCCAAGACAGAATATTGCTCTCCAGAAATCATAATGTGACTTCATGTCACCATAAGGTACAAAAAAATAAGACTCCTTACGTGGGTATCATTAACTTTATCAGTGTTTATAATAATGGTTTACTTAAAGCTCAACTCTCTGTATCATATCTGAGAATTAAATAATAAGAAAAAGAAAACAACCCAGCATAAAGTTAAGGTATAATAGATCAGTGAGTCAATAAACATTTATTAGGTGCCTGCTATGTACAGGCACCATGCTAAGTGCTGAGTATACAAATACAAATAAAAAGAAAAATAGTCTCTGTCTTCAAGGAGCTTACAATCTAATGGAGTCAAGTACTTCATTCATACCAAATACCTTCCAGCCCTGACAAAGAGCTGGTTTATTCTTTAGATGAATTTTTAGTAGGCTTAATTACCTGGTTTCCTGGTCCATAACTGATTAGAAGCAGCACTTTAGCTTTGGACAGTGTGGGATGTTAGAGGTTATAGGAACAAGAAGTGACAGTTGATATCCCAATACTAAAGAAGAACCCCCCCCCAAAAAAAAAACTTTAATAAAAAGCAAATACATCCAAAAAAAATGAAAACATAGAACATCTGAGCTGGAAGATATGTCAGTGACCATTTAATGCAATCTATACCTGAAAAAGAATTCCTCTCTTCATAATACCCAATAAATTATCTTTCAACTTATGTTTTTCTTTATACCAAACCACCTAATTTTACATTTATTTTTGGTTACAGCAGTTCATGAGATCCTTTACTAAGGCATGGAGGGGTTGTGATCTGTGTTAGTGGAGGGAATATCCTCAATAGAGAAATCACAGATCTTTTGAAGTACTGAAATGTACTCTGTTTAAAAAGGCAGGGAAATGTATAAAGCATTTGAGAAAGTTTTTCATTTAAAATGCTCAAAATATTTAAATCTTTGGGGACATAGAGTAGAGTTGAAATTTGAGTTGTATGGGAAATTCGGTTATTATGGAGTATCTCTTTAATCAATGTTGTTCTGTAAATGAATACTACCATCTTATCAGTAAGCAGTGTCTATTCTCTGGCAATGGCTAGAATAATAGAATGTTAGATCTAAAAGACACCTTATAGATCATCTGTAAGTCCAGCAGTCTTATATTTACAAATGAGAATTTGAGGTTAAGAGATGCCAAGTGATCTGCCAGTAGCAGAGCCAGGACTAAATCCAGGTCACCAACTCTAAATCCAAACACTTTTTCACTTTATTATACTACTTTAATCATTCAAGGAGCTATGATCTCACTGGTGGGAATGTTCTCACCACTCATGAAGAATCACCTCTCCAGAAACTAGAAGACAGTTTTTGAGTTGCCACTTTTTTTCTGGATGGGTTGGGGGAAGGGGTCTGGAGTCATGATTTTATAAGTATGGGGAACTTCTGGTGTGGAAACCCCCTCCAATGATGCAGATTGCAACTTACCTGAAGCCTATACTCAAAGAAATTTGCTTGGGACACTGAGAGGTAAGTGATTTGCCCACGATTACTCAGCTAGTATATATCAGAAGTAGGACTTGAATTCTGGTCCTTTGCAGTAGACCAAAAGAATCACTTGAAGTGAAGACCCTTGATACTGAGACAACATGTTAATTAACTGTTGCCAAAATTTATAAAGACTCTCAGGCTGCTCATAATGATATGATTGGCTTGTTAAATTTGATTAATTTTTTTCAGATCCATTTGTTAGTGTCATAGAATCTCAGAGTTGAAATGGAACTCAGTTCAACCCTTACCCAGAGCCTTAGTTCTGCCTTCAAAATCCCTTAAAGATAGATTTGCAGCCTCCACTTAAAGACATTGGTGGTAGGAGAGTCATTACTTGACAAGGGAGGTCGTTCCATTTTTTTAAAAGCTGTAATTGCTAGGAAGTTTTTCTTTATACAGAATCAAAATCTGGCTCCCTGTGACTTGAACCCCTGGTCAGTCCTACTTCCACCCTCCAGGGCCCAACAGGACAGCCTGAGTCCCTTTTACATATGACCAAGCTTCAAGTGTTTGAACATTGTGTCATAATTTCCTCTCCTTAGACTTCTCTTCCATATGTTTAAACATCTCCATTAAACACTCATGGAGAGAAGCCAGGTTCTTTCAGTGGCTTAGTTTTATTGATCAAGCCTATTTGTAAATTCAGTGTTCACTGAGGTCCCTTCCAACACTCAAATTCTATGATTTGGTGAGTCTTCAAAATGATACTTGAGGACAGAAGAAGGAACCTTGAAGTTAAAATTATTATAACTGGTGTTTTGAGAAAAGATAATGTTAGTTGTGGGTCCTGAGAGGGAACTCTTTCAGCTCAGCTGATGAGGAATATAATTTGATATCATCCTTAAGACCCTCATTTAGAAACTTATCTGTATCATACTGTATAGAATTAGGACAGAACAATATGAAAATAGTGGTTTATTTTCATAAACAATTCCAGATTGATATAGCTGTGATTTCTTTTAGTCTTAATTGTTAATCTAGATTTGGATATATGTCTTGTCTGGCAAAAGTTCAAATTGATTAAGATGATTATTTGGTGATATTGTTACCTTTCCCTTTTGGAAATAGTTATGGTAGTTCATTGTCAAAGATCATATCTGGTTACTTTTTAAATGTCATTGGATATTGGTTTTTTAAAAAAAATGTTAGTTGGCATTAGGTAAATGACTGGAAATTGGGGGATCTTAGAATAATTTTCCTAACTTCCATTAGATTACTAAAGAGGTATGCCATATTTTATATAGTAGATGGATTTTTCTAAAATATTGCATAAATGGAATTATATTTTCAATAAAATTGGGAGCTCAATACATAAGCAATTAATTCCCGTGGTGAATCCTTTTGTAAAATAGCTAGCAAGCTCCCCTTAAATGGATGTTTTGAAAATCTAGCCCTTCATATATTTGACTTTGTCATCTCAGGAGAGTGACAATCTTATATTCCCTCAGGAAGGGAATAACATAACAAACAGCAGCCTGTTTGTGTTCAAAGGACAAAGCTGTGTGTTTATTTTTGGATTCGATCTGTGATTTTGTTCATATGGAGGCAATTCCCTCTACCAATGCAGATCAGTATCTGTTGTGCAATTTGGAGTTGTGGGGAGGCCCCAAGAAGTAAGTGACTTACCTCAAGCCACATGGCCACTAGGGATCACAGTCAGAACTAGAATCCAAGTCTTCCTGATTCCAAGGTGAGGGCCCTCTATCCACTAGGCTGAAGCTATCGCTTAAATAGATGTCATTTTGAGTTTGTAGGGCATATACACTGAAGGGTCCTCTTTAAATGTTTAACTCAGTA